AGGGTCAAAATAAGGGTCATGAGGGTTACAGCAAGTTTCAGATGAAAGATCCAAATTAAGGATCACGAGGATTCAAATGAGGGTCATATGGGTCCGATTAAGGTTCTAAATAAGGTTCACAAGGATGAGATTAAAGATCACGAAGGTTAAGGGTCTGAGTAAGGGTCAGGGGGGTCATAAGGGTCACTATATATCTCTATATTGTGAAAATCTAAATTGACTTTTGATGATGAAAATTTTGTACTGGAAATTAAGAATAAAAAATTGAGGGTTACAAGGGTCAAAATAAGGGCCATGAGGTTCACAGCAAGTTTCAGATGAAAGATCCAAATTAAGGATCACGAGTATTCAAATGAGGGTCATATGGGTCCGATTAAGGTTCTAAATAAGGTTCACAAGGATCAGATTAAAGATCACGAAGGTTAAGGGTCTGAGTAAGGGTCAGGGGGGTCATAAGGGTCACTATATATCTCTATATTGTGAAAATCTAAATTGACTTTTGATGATGAAAATTTTGTACTGGAAATTAAGAATCAAAAATTGAGGGTCACAAGGGTCAAAATAAGGGCCATGAGGGTTACAGCAAGTTTCAGATGAAAGATCCAAATTAAGGATCACGAGGATTCAAATGAGGGTCCGATTAAGGTTCTAAATAAGATTCACAAGGATCAGATTAAAGATCACGAAAGTTAAGGGTCTGAGTAAGGGTCAGGGGGGTCATAAGGGTCACTATATATCTCTATATTATGAAAATCTAAATTGACTTTTGATGATGAAAATTTTGTACTGGAAATTATGAATCAAAAATTGAGGGTCACAAGGGTCAAAATAAGGGCCATGAGGGTTACAGCAAGTTTCAGATGAAAGATCCAAATTAAGGATCACGAGGATTCAAATAAGGGTCATATGGCTCAGATTAAGGGTCCAAATAAAAGTAACAAGGATCAGTTAAGGGTCTAAATAAGGTTCTCAAGGAACAGATTAAGGGTCAAAATAAGAGTCCAGACAAAGGTCATGGGGGTAAAAATAAGGGTCATGAGTGCGGGCCAGATGAAGAATCCAAATAAGAGTCAGATTAAAGATCACAAAGGTTAAGGGTCTGAATAAGGGTCAGGGGGGTTATCAACTAAGGGTCATAAGGGTCCAAATAAGAGTCTCTATATAACTCTCTATATTATAAAAATCCAAATTGAATTTGGTGATGAAAATTTGGTACTCGAAATTAAGACTCCAAAATAAAGGGTCACGAGGGTCAAAATCAGGGTCACCAGGTGATCTAATGAGGGTCATAAGGGTCAGATTAAGGGTAATCTTCATGGGGTGTTGGAGAAAATTTGAAGGGAAATTTTCCCTTTTTTTTCGCATTTTGAGATTTTTCATTAATTGAGATCGAAAATGTTGTTAATTGATGACTGATTGATGATTAATGATTGCTGTTGACCAGCCTGAACGTGTGATGGAGTCACACAGTGAGGAGGACGCTGATAATGTCCCTCCCCTCAACACAACGAAGCAGGAGGAATTGAGAAAACGAGTTGGACCAGTACCTCATTTTCCATCGCCTTACTCAAACAGTTCCGAGGGTGATGTAAGCGATGACAGTGATGCATCACCAACAATTACACCTTTAACGCCGTTAGTTAATAATCACCGTAAACGCTCTGGGTCAATGCAGAGACAACAGTTACTCGAGATTATACAGGCCAATATGGAGAAGAACAATCTCAGTTTCCATGCATCTAGGTAAATTTTTAAAAATCCTCGATTTTTCGTAAATATTCTGGATATTGAGGGGTCGTGGGACCTTTTTGTTGCTTGTGAAATTATTTGCAAGAAATAATGATGACGATTTCAAGTCATTAGATAATCAGAAAGAATTAGGAGAGTGATTGGAGTTGTATTTGGAGAAATAGAAAAATTTGTTTCCTTACTTTCGTAAATGTCTTGGAAGGTACTGCGTTTGGAGAGAAATGTTGTGGGAACTTTTTGTAGCTTGTGGAATTCTCTACAAAAAAGTTCTCTGAGGTTTTCTTGTAAAATTACTCATTACTGAGATAATTAAACGATGAGTAATTGAATAAGTCAAATTCTATTTAGGAGCATTGAAAAATCGAGTTGTTTATTTTCCTAAATATCTCAGAAACTACTGGGTCTATCGGAAAATGTCATAAAATTTTCATTGTAGTTTAGGAAATTTTCTACGAAAAATTTCTCTGACATTTTCCTCTAAAATCACTCATTACTGAGATAATTAAAGAATGAGTAATTGAATAAGTCAAATTCTATTTAGGAGCATTGAAAAATCGAGTTATTTCCCTAAATATCTCAGAAACTACTGGGTCTATCGAAAAATATCATAGATTTTTTTTTGTAGTTTATGAAATTCCCCACAGAAAATGTTCTCTGAGATTTTCCCCTCAAGGCCCTCATAATCTCACAATGAAGGAATCAACGCTTGATGAACTTCAGAAATCCTTTCAGTAGAGAAAAGCCTCCACCAATTTCCCAATAACCCCTGAAAATACTTAAAAAAAACTAATAACATCGTTAGACATTTTTTAACTCACGAAATTCTCCCCAAGAGTGTCACCTGATAAAAAAACTGATGAAAACTTCACAATGAAAATTCCAAAAAATCCTGAAAACAATTTAAAAAATGAATTTTAATAACCCCAATTTTCCCCAGGAAACGACACCAAACCGATCACCTCCGAGTGCCTTATGAAATTCCCCACAGAAAATGTTCTCTGAGATTTTCCCCTCAAGGCCCTCATAATCTCACAATGGAGGAATCAACGCTTGATGAACTTCAGAAATCCTTTCAGTAGAGAAAAGCCTCCACCAATTTCCCTATAACCCCTGAAAATACTTTTAAAAAAATAATAACATCGTTAGACATTTTTTAACTCACGAAATTCTCCCCAAGAGTGTCACCTGATAAAAAAACTGATGAAAACTTCACAATGAAAATTCCAAAAAATCCTGAAAACAATTTAAAAAATGAATTTTAATAACCCCAATTTTCCCCAGGAAACGACACCAAACCGATCACCTCCGAGTGCCTTATGAAATTCCCCACAGAAAATGTTCTCTGAGATTTTCCCCTCAAGGCCCTCATAATCTCACAATGAAGGAATCAACGCTTGATGAACTTCAGAAATCCTTTCAGTAGAGAAAAGCCTCCACCAATTTCCCTATAACCCCTGAAAATACTTAAAAAAAAATAATAACATCGTTAGACATTTTTTAACTCATGAAATTCTCCCCAAGAGTGTCACCTGATAAAAAAACTGATGAAAACTTCACAATGAAAATTCCAAAAAATCCTGAAAACAATTTAAAAAATGAATTTTAATAACCCCAATTTTCCCCAGGAAACGACACCAAACCGATCACCTCCGAGTGCCTTATGAAATTCCCCACAGAAAATGTTCTCTGAGATTTTCCCCTCAAGGCCCTCATAATCTCACAATGAAGGAATCAACGCTTGATGAACTTCAGAAATCCTTTCAGTAGAAAAAAGTCTCCACCAATTTCCCAATAACCCCTGAAAATACTTTAAAAAAACTAATAACATCGTTAGACATTTTTTAACTCACGAAATTCTCCCCAAGAGTGTCACCTGATAAAAAAACTGATGAAAACTTCACAATGAAAATTCCAAAAAATCCTGAAAACAATTTAAAAAATGAATTTTAATAGCTCCAATTTTCCCCAGGAAACGACACCAAACCGATCACCTCCGAGTGCCGCTGGAGCGTTCGTACACAGACCCATCGTCCCCCTACACCCAGAGAAGTCGTCCCCCCTCAGCGCAGCGCCCCCCCCCAGCCTACCACAAGCCAGTGCGAGAATACTCTCACCACTCGACGTCCCTCCCCAAGCTGACGGCCAAATGTCGTGGGAATCTCCGAAAAACGAGGAACCACCAGAGCACAACACCCCAGAGGAACGTCCCCCCAGCAGCTGGCAAATCCCTGAGGAACAATCTCCAGTCGAGTCCAGTGGTGAACCCCAACATTCTGAATCCCCAGGAGAATCCCCAGAACAATCAGGCCAATGTCAATCAGATGAACAATCAGAAGAACGACGTGGAGTTTGTGCAGCAGGGGAAGAGCAGCAAGAAGCACCAGCTGAAGCATGCGACGAGGGAGCAAGACCAGGCCAGGGCTATGGCACAGGTCGTTCGCTGGCTCGAGAGGGAATTCTCACAGACTGCCGCTGCCAGCTCCACTGGCCGGAGGCATGTCCACGAGCACATCCATCATCATTATCACCATTATCATGCTGAGGCACTTGTCTAAATTTTTTTAAGGAGATTGAAGAGGTGGAGAAGTGGAGAAAATTGTTGCAAGTGGAGGGCATCGGCTTTTTGGGAATTATCTCGACAGGGCGGGGGTTTACGGGAAAATGGGAGAGGACATTTTTTGGGGAGCATTTCGTGGGCTACAAAAAAGGTCCTCAGACTTTTTTTCGTAAATGCAGTGGTTTGGGAGGTAACTGGGAATTTTGGGGAGCCGTTTTTTGGCGTTGGAGGCATTTTTGGAAGTGATGGGAGCTTTTAATTTGGGGATTATCTCGGTAATGGCGGGGTTTAGGGGAAATTGTAAGAGGAGATTTTTTGTGCAGGATTTCGTAAGCTTGAAGAAAGGTCTTGGAATGTTTTTTTGTAGAGCCATTGGTTAAGGAGGTAATTGAGGAATTAGGAAATGGTTTGGGGGAGGAGGGATTTTGCAAGGTGATATGACGAGTTAATTGGTTAGTTATCTCGTTAATGAGTGGGTTTGGGAGGAAATGTTGGAACACATTTTTTGGAGAGAATTTTATAAGCTCGGAAAAATGTCTGATGTCGTTTTGTCGCAAGTCCACTCTTTAACGAGATAATTGCCGAAATAATGGGACTATTTTTCCACTTCTCTACCGAGTCAATCAGCGTTGAAATTTTCCAACTGTATTCGACAGCAAATCTTCAACTTCGAAGATTTTCAAGAATAATCTTTTTACTTTACGGAATTGGGAGATGAAACATCAATTTTTCTTAATCTTTTCCCTCATTTTTTTGATAAATTAATAATTGATGGAAAAAAGATAATTAAATTAATTTTTTTATAAATTTAGTCATTTGCAGGACAAATTAAAAGTTAAATTTAGGCTTTTGTAATTGACAACCCTTCACCTCGTGTCTCCCAATTTCAAACTATTGAATTTATAGACTGACTGAGAGGGCCTACGAACAATTCTCCCCCCAAAAAGCTTAAAAAACCCACAACGTTTAAATAACAATTTTCCAATAATGCAAAACCGAAATAAAATCCATTCGTAAGGTCTTCCTCGCCCTCACTCGTCCCCTCGCGACAATATTTTTGTACGTAGCCTCACGATGAACAAAAAATCGAAACAAAACAGAGTATTAATAAATCTATTTAGTAATAAATCCCCCACTAATTACCCGAAGTAAGTTAATTAAACGTTAATTATAAGAGGAACCCTGGGGAGTGGATGATAATACCGATGATGAAAAATAGAAGATATTTAAATAAATAAAAACTCCCATTTTACTCTTCCATTGAGCAAAACAAAGCCTGATTTTGTTTAATAAAAAAAGTAAAACAGAGGGAAATGTAATTTTGTATTCGAAAAAAACTTTGTAACCGATGTAGATATTTTTTATCATGTAACTCGATTTTTTTTCTATTGATATTTATTAAAACACTTTTTTTATACTGTATACTATTGCGTTGTCAATCAATCAATCCTCACAATTAATCAATTGATGAATCAATCCCATCCTCTCGAAATGTCCCTCAATCATCTTTTTTCAAATTTTTCTCAATCATCTGCTGAATAATTTCTCCCACCATCATTAATTATTTACTAAGTTTATACAATTAGTTCCACACGACGTCTGTCTGGGGGACCAATACAATATGCAAATATAATCGATATTTTTTTTAATCAGTATCCAACCCACTTTTTCTTAATTACTTAACTATTATAATTATATTCTGTATTTATTCATTCATTTTCATTATATTATCAGACATAACTCCAAACACATGTGCCACGTGTATCAGCACAGCACGTTGTTGTTTAATTTAAGGGTTTTTAATTGGTTTTAGTTCATTAATGGGAAATTTTTTGTTCAAATTTTCTCGCTTTTTAGGTTTTCAGGGGCTTTATTTAACTATATTGCATGTGCTTTTAATACAAATCCCTTATAAGCATTCATTTTCAGTTAAAAAAGAAGTTTCAAGTGTTAGGTAAGCTATTATACACGCTCATTACTAATTAAGTTTCAGTAATTAATTAAAATATAGTGAAGACGAATTTGCTGCAGTCGAGTTTTGTTTTTGCTGAATATCTCGGGATCTGATGGGGCTAGGGAAATAAATTTTACTTCGTTGGATTCCTCGGAAAATTTCCGACCTCAACCTCTGGTCACGAACCCGTTCTGCCCCGTTTTTCATGTAAATACCGGGGAAAAACCGTTTTCGCCGAGAAAAACGTCTTTGCTGATTTTACGGGCAACCAGTGGGGCAAAATGGGTTCAATACCAGAGGATGAGATCCGAAATTTTCTGATCTTTCGAATAAAGTTGGATTTATTGTGATTCGATCCACAGATCTCGAGATAATCGGGATTTTGGGTTTCTCAAGACTCGATTGCAAGTCAAATAAAATGGATTACAATTGAATTGCTTTTTAATTCAAGCAAAATTCTCTCTCCCAATACAATAATCAAATACAAAGCATCGGAGTAAATAATAGAAACACTTTTAGTTCATTCCACTTGCACCCAGAATTATCCAAAAGGAAAATTCACGGAAAAAATGATAATATATATTTTTCTTCTTCATCGTTAAGTTGATTAGACTCGAAGACTTTATACATTATTTTCATTGAATTTCATTCATTTTTATACTTATCAATTCTTTGTTAAGGTAATTAGGTTTAATTATGCCGCGGAAAATCGCTGCTGCGCAGGTTTTCAAAAAAAACATCAAAATGCCAAATTGGAGATTGGCCAAAATGTTTGTAAAATTTATTGAAAAAAAATAAATTTCTTATTGATTTGGCGAGTGGTGACAGGTGGGGTCTGATGTCGATTGATAATTAATTCAAGAGGTAATTAAATAATTAACGAGTTCTGAAATTATTTGAAAAATTCAAGTGAGACAAAAACGACTTCACCAACTTCTCGATTATCTCTGTAATTATTGGTTTTAGGAGAAAAATCCATTGAACATTTTTTGTAGCTGATGAAATTCTCTACAAAAAATGTCTTATGACTATTTCCACTCAATCCACTCCTTACCGAAATAATAAAGCAGTTAACAAGTGCCGAAATTATTAAAAAAATTTCAAGCGCGAAAAAAAGTCACCTGTAATTTCTTAATTATCTCCGTAATTATTGATTTTAGAAGAAAAAGTTATTGAACATTTTTTGTAGCTTATGAAATTCTCTACAAAAAATGTTCAGTAACATTTTCCCCTAAACCCCCTCCCCACCGAGATAATCGTCAAATTGACTATCAAAATCCTTCCAACGTGACTAAATCAAAAAAAAAAAAATCTTCAACTGCTTAATTACCTCAATACTATCTAATTTAATTATCAGACAAAATTTTCACCCGACCCTCCCCAAAAAGCTCTCACCCCTCGCCCACAAAATCAATCACCAACTAAAGTCAATAAAAAAAATGTATCACCTCCTGAAAATAATTCCGTGCAATAATCCTACCCTAAATGCTAATCGCTCCTCCCCTCAATTAAAACCTGGCAATGAAAATCGATTACCTCAAACATTGATATGAATACAATACAATCAATAACTTAACCCTAAATTAATTAACAAATCGAATATAGATTTGGTTAATTCAAAGAAAAAAAAATGATTATCATACTACGATTGAAAATGTACAATCAGACGCAAATCCTTGGCAATTAAAATTCATTCACCAATTTTCCCATTCAATCAATCGATCAATTAAAACTCCCTCCCAATCAATCGATCAATAAATCAATAAATCGAGGTGAAAAGGTACCACAACCTCTGAATTAGGTGCTGCATCCTCGAATTGATAAAGAAAAATTGAAACGTTTTCTCTTTTAATTACAATTCATCGATTAATTACTTGGTTTTCTCATGATTACTACAGAATTCGGTCATCTGTACTCGAATTATCTATCTTTCACTCACAATTAATCGTAATGACGCAATTAATCAGTGATCAATCAATTTGCACATTCAACTTAAACCAAAAATACGTAATTGGACCATGATTTATTATTTTCAATCGTTTAACTGCTAGTTTAGGTTGCAATTATCTTGAGCAGTGCTTTGTTTTTTTAAACATGATGTACATTTTATCCTAATTCTCGATCTATTTAGGAGGCTATTGATTAATTAGTGGGATTGTTCTTGTTCAGATGGGGGTTATTACTTTTTTACTGATGATTGGAGGTTTTTGTGGGGCATTTGTACAATTATTTGTTCTCTTGGGATTGAGTGAAGTAAAATTAATGAAAAATTCATTCTTTTCGATTGAATAATTGTCCTTGTGGGGGTTTTATCATCAGATACTTTTCTCGTTGTGATTAACGATGTTAATGGACTTTCCATAATTAGTTTTGATGAATTTATAACGAGAAATAACGTAAATTCGAGGTTTTAGTTCACTCAAATCACAACTTGAGGGGTTTAAACTTCAGAACTTGAATATCTGGGTAATGAGTGGACTTACGACAAAATGCGCCTCGTCATTTTTTCTAGGAAATTGAATTCTCTAAAAAAAATGTATTGTGACATTTTACGCTGGATTCGCTCATTAACGAGATAATGAGAGGTTATTGTTGATGAGTGGATCAAAGTTGAATGAGAAAAAATGTTCCTAATTCCGCGCATATCTGGTTGATTATTGGTTTTAGGGGAAAATGTCATAGAACATTTTTGTTGGGGAATTTTATCAGCTACAAAAAAGGTCCAGTGACATTTTCTCTTAGGACCAATAGTTAACGAGATATTCGCAAAATTAACAGAATAAGTTTTCTTGATTTGACTGGAGTCCCTTCAGAACGTGGAATTATTCAAATTATTCACACAAACATGAGTTAAAGGAGAATTAGAATCGTGTACGACATCAAAAATATACTATTGCAATAGTGCATCAGTGTGCGAATGACAACACCCTGTAGATAATCATTAACCCAAGGTATTTAAATTTAACCTCGTGTCATCCTTATTTCACACAATATCGTGACTTTTTCATTTGCTGGATCCCATGCATGAGTTTCAGTAATTAATCATCAAAAAATCCTAGAAAATATTGCAAATAAAACAGTAAAAATCGTGGAAAAACCAAAATAAAATGTTTTTATGCAAAAATAAAATAACAAAGTGACAAAACGAAACAAAACTCCCATTAAATGCGCGATTATCTCGGCAACGAGTGGACTTACGCCCAAATGTTATAGGACATTTTTTCTGAGGAATTTCATAAGCTGCAAAAAAGGTTGAGACACATTTTGCCGTAAATCCACTCATTAACGGGATAATTGGACAATTCAGGAGGCGTGAGAAATCATTTTGTTACGTTTTCCCCATTTTTAATGAGAAAATAATTAATTAATTAGATTTTTCGGGGAAATTCAGGCGTGGGATCTCGATGCGATTAAATTCCTTGTTAATTAGGTAATATTTCATTCGAATTAAAGTTACGCTCTACCACGTGATTTTTTAGTTCGAGAAGTTGAATCCTCAGTGGTGGTGATTTTCGAAGTGGTTGTTGCCATTCTCTTTGCACGTCCCGTTGATGTTTTATCATTCCTCTCCACATCTGTGCTCTCGCCAGTCCCTTAAGGAGATGGTTTTGATTTTTTTTGTTATTCCAATTGCTCTTATAATTTTTTTTTAGTTCGATTTTTAACGATGGAATTAATTTCGACGAGTCAAATTGAACATCTTTGTTGCTTTCGGAGTAATCTCGGTAACGAGTGGATATACGACGAAAGTGCTCTGGACACTTTTTGTAGCTTATGAAGTTCTCTACAAAAAGTGTTTTTTGGCATTTTTCCCTGAATCCACTCGTTAATGAGAAAATTTCGTTTTTAACAGGATGGAAAATTCGACTTGTTGAGAATGGATTAATTCGGGGTGATTAGAATGTTTTGTTTTGATTAGAGGATTAATTAGGACGAATTAATTCGTGAGGATTAATGGGATGTGGAGGTTTTGACTTGCTCAGTTGGGAAAAGTTAAGGAATAATTTTTAAAGGAAGAAATTTGTGTTAATTTTGAAATTAAAAAAAAGATCAACATAAATTTTAGTGTTTTTTGGGTTGATTAAAATTACATTTATCTTCTTAACGAGTAGTTTTATCGAGAAATGTCAGATAACGTTTTTGTAGCTTATTCAGTTCTCTACAAAAAATGTTTCCTGACATTTTTCCCTAAATCCAATCGTCAATGAGAAAATTTCGTTTTTAACAGGATGGAAAATTCGACTTGTTGAGAATGGATTAATTTGGGGCGATTAGAATGTTTTGCTTTGATTAGAGGATTAATTAGGGCGAATTAATTCATGAGGATTAATGGGATGTGGAGGTTTTGCCTTGTTCAGTTGGGAAAAATTAAGTAATATTTTTTGAAGGAAGAAATTTGTTGCAATTTTGAAACAAAAAAAAAGTTTAACCTAAATTTTATTTTTTTTAGGTTGATTAAAATTAAATTTATGTTCTTAACGAGTAGTCTTATCGAAAAATGTCAGACAACTTTTTTTGTAGCTTTTGAAATTATCTGCAAAAAATGTTCTCTGACATTTTCCCGTAAACCTAATCATTAACGAGACAATTTCGTTTTTACAGGAAGGAAAATTCGACTTGTTGCAAATGAATTAATTGGGGGATTAATTAGACCCAATTATTTCGTGGAAATTAATGGAATATAGAGGGTTTCATCGAACGTTTGGACTACTTTAGCTGGGAAAAATTAAATTATGGTTTTTAAAGGAAGAGATTTGTGTGAATTTTGAAACAAAAAAAGTTCAACATAACTTTTAGTGTTTTTTGGATTGATTAACATCGCATTTGTCGTCTTAACGAGTAGTTTTATCGAAAAATGTCAGAAAATGTTATTTATAGCTTATAAAGTTCTCTACAAAAAATGTTCTCTGATATTTTTCCATAAATCCACTCGTTAACGAGAGAATTTCGATCTTAAAAAGACGAAAAATTCGAATTGTTGCAAATGGATTTGCAACAATGATGTTAATGGATTCGGAATGATTAGTTTGTTTGTTTTGAGTCAGAGGATTAATTAGGCCGAATTAATTCGTGCGGATTAACTGGATGAGGAGGATTAACTGAAGGTTTGAACGATTTCAATTGGGAAAAATTAAAAAATCATTTTTGAAGGAAGAAATGTTTCAATTTTGAAAAACGATAATTAAATAATATTATCCAGGCCATCGCCTGTTATTACCATCTCCTTAAATTTGAATAATCATCAAGACCCCCTCTCAACCTAATCAAAACCCCTCAGGAAATGAAAAATCAATAAAAACCCGGTGATGAAGTGATAAAACCCAAGAATTCCCTCAATTCTGCCTTAATCTTCTTAAAAAAACCTTTAAAAAATCACCACTTTCCTCTAAAAAAATCCTTCGACATTTCCTTCAAGCCCCCATCTCCAAAATAATCCCAAACTGAACAAAATAAATTATAAAAATAAATAAAAACAAGAAACCCTTTCATTCTATCGTTTTTATTCACTTCACTAACGAAAAAAAATTATTCCTCCTCAAAATAATCCCTCAATAATACTTTTCATTAATAATATTGAAAAAAAATTAAATATCGTTTCATTCCTCCACACGTTATCCCTCCATTAACAAAAAAAAAAAATTCATTTCCCCTGAAAATAATACCTCGGCTCAATAATATTCACCGAAAATAAAAACCGTTTCGTTCTTTCGTGTTTTACCACTTCACCATTAATAAAAAAATTCCCCTAAAAAATAATGCCTCAATAATACTTGGGATCAATAATATTCAATCGATGAATGGTAAAACATCACTCACCACGCAGTTTCGTTCTGGGTGCAGTACTGGTTTGCTTAATAGTTTTCTTCATCTCCACCTTCTTCGCATCATTACGCTTTCCCTCCTCCGTATTATTTATAACTGGGCTCTTATTAGCCCGATTTAATGCACGTTTAGCTCGTGACGGTACTTTAGCAACTGATTTGGCAATGGCCAGTGCTTTGTTAGTGATTCGTTTTTTATTACGACTGCTTCTCATTGGTTTTTTATCATCTTCATCGCTCGATTCATCTTCGGATGACGACGACGATGTGTCGCGTTTTGATCTCTTGCGTTGGCGTTGTTTTCCTTTGACGGTGCTTTTTCTCTTCTTCAATTGTGACTCGTCTTTGTACAGGGATAAGTCAAGTCCGTCTGGATGCTCCTCTGTTACACTTGGCTTTTCAGAGACACCAGCCTCCACGTCTATTGCTCTTTTCAGTATATTTTCCGTACGCAAAAGCTCGATTTTCGTCAACTGAAACTTATTCTTGTCGATTTTGTTGAGGTTCAGGTTCGTCAGTATGCAGTCGAAGTCTGAAAATTAAATTAAATTGCAAATTTTTGTATTGAATTCCCTGAAAAAAATTAATAATTACATTTTTTACAATTCTTTTGACATTTCGATAATTGTTCAATTAAATTGCTCAATCTTGATAAGAGTAGATTGATAATACAATTTTTAAAGCCATTCTTTTAAGGGGAAATTTTTTTCCAGTTTCTTAGGGTTAAGGATCAATTGTTGATAAATTATTCAAGTGAAATTATCCCAATGCAATTATCTCAATAAGAATGAATTGATAATAAAATTGTAAAAGCCATTTTTAAGGGGGAAATTTCTAATGAAAAAATATCCTTTAAAATTAATCTCTAAATCTCTAATTCATAAGTAGATAAATAACCATTTAACAACAGAACAATAAAAAAAACATTTAACAAGTAATCGAATGCATCAAGTAAAATGAAAAAACCATCGACATTTTCCTCTAGAATAATTTATCAACGAGATATCTGGATTTACAAGTGATGCCATAATTGAAATTGAAGGAAACATCTTCATCAATTCTTTAATCATCTCGATAAACAGTGAATTTACCAGAAAATGTTGAAAACATTTTTTAGATGAGAAAATCCTTAATAAAAAAATATCCTTTAAAATCCCCTCTAGAATAATTTACGAAAAGTCCCTCTTCATCAATTCTCGAATCATCTCAATAAACAGTTGAACTGACAAAAAAAACGCTGAGAGACATTTTCTCCTGAACCCAAACATTGACATCATAATCTCCGAATTAAAAATTGCAATTACCTCAGCAAAAAAACTATCTCTCAAATGACTAATCTAAAAATCAAGCAAATTATCCTCTCGAAATGATCCCAGACTCCCCTCAATTATGACTAAAATTCCGAACTGAACCAAAAAAAAAAACAAGCAGGGGGTTGAGCCTATTCAACTGAAGAGATATGATTGTTTCTTTATGCGTTGTTAGTCTTTTTATCTTTCATCTCTACCAACTTCATTGGTAGTAAGCTTCCGAATGGATCCGTTGCAATTCTATTTTTTAAAAATAATCAGAAGATAAAAATTCTGTTTTGTTGTGAATAAAAACGTTCAGTTTCTGTAAGACGCAAATTCTCTGATTTTCTCAATTTTCAAGGAAAACAAGAGGAAACTTCGTGCCAAACTTCAGATTAATATGTCAATTTTTTCCAAAGTTAAAGTGCAAAGACGGATTTTTAGCGAAAAATCGAAAAATTTGAATTCCTCGGGAACTTTGCATGAATCACTTGCATGAATTGGGCATATTCCAATTGGTTGGAATAGGAGACATTGAGATGAATATTTTGAAAAAAAAAATTCAAATCGGTTGAGTAGTTTTTGAGATATTCAAGAAAATAGATTTGGATACAAAGTCGAATATCTCCTAAACTATCCATCCGATTTAGCCCATCTTCAATACCAAACATTTTAGTGCCAAGAGGAAACTTTGTACCAAATTTCAAATTAATATGTCAATTTTTAGGAAAACTAGAGTGCTAACAAAAGTTTTCAGCGAAAAACCGAAAAATGGAAATATCTCGAAAAGTTTGTATGAACGGATATAGATATTTTGATAGATTGCGACAGAAGACATCAAGACGAGTATTTTGAAAAAAAAAATTAAGATCGGTTGGATAGTTTTCGGGATATTTGCGAAAAACGATTTAAAAACAAATGATGATTTCTCAAAAATGGCTGAACCGATTCAGCTGAACTTTAGCACAGCCTTAGTCCTCATTAATACCTATAATCTCACAAAATTTCAAATTTTTTTGAATTATTTTAGCCCTTTATTCGTTTAATTTTCTAAAAGTTGACCATCCAAAAGTTGTCCTCAAACTTCGTATTTTTACGTTTCAGACCATTCTCCATAATTTCCATGCAAAATTAGAGAACCGAAAAATCGAACGATTTCAATTCTACCCCCGTCGACTTACCAGTAAAATCATAAAAATCAGGTGAATAAATTTCCCCATTATTCTTGTCCTGCGAGAGCCAGCGAATTCTGATGCGCCTACTGCTCTTATAAATATTCTGCATGGCCTGACACACGTAGAAGCTCCCCTCGGCATTTCTCACCGCGAGAAACTCATTCTTATAGAACACAATAAGTTTGTCATCGGCATTCTTATTAGCCACCGGTTTGCTAAGTGTCTTAACTATCAAGGCAATCTCTGGCAAGGGGCTCTGATAGGGCTGTGTCTGAACTCTGTTTCTCTTGGGTTTGCTGCCCCCCTCCCCAACACCCCCCTTAAGATCCTTGAGCTCGCGTGATTTTCTCTTGACAACTCTGGGTGTAGTTGCAATCTTCATCTCTGCTTTGAGTGGTGACGATGTCTCTGGTTTAGTCGGTGTTTTTTTCTGTACATTTTGCGAACTTGGCTCCTCCTTCTGGGGTGTCTTGGGGGTTTGAGTGGTCTCCGGGTCCTTCGAGCCATTGTTCATCGGTGATTTCTTCTCCTCTGGCTTCATCGACTCCCCAGGCACATCGCCAGGGCCCTTTTCAGACTCGATCAAACTCTCGGGACTCAGATTGTTGTTTCTGTTGACTTCTGACTGTTTTGGAATTGTCTCCTGGTCCAACTGGGCTTTCACACCCTCGACACCGTTCGCCAGGGACTTTTCCGCCTCCGGCTTGTCACCGTTGTTGCTGCTGTACTGCTGGCCTGGGTACACTGGACCCCTGTGGTCCTGCACCAGGCTCAGGGGCTGCGAGGCTGGCTGAAGGGTCACGTAACTCAGACCACTGTTGCTCAGGGGCTTCATTGAGGCTGTTGAGTCCGCACCTGGGGACACTTTCTGGGCCATCGCCGTCATTGGGAGCATTGAGTGACCTGTTGGGGGCGCCGAACTTGGCACTCCTGGCATCGGTGATTTTATCGCTGATGCACTCATTGTTTTGGGGGGTTTCTAAGCTGAAAAAAAATTTTTTTGTGATTTTTTTATTTTTTA